CTTTCTCTTGGGGCGCCTGGGTGGCTCAGTGGGTTAAAGCCTCTTCCTTCGGCTCAGGTCATGATCCCAGAGTCCTAGGATCAAGCCCCGCATCAGGTTCTCTGCTCAGCAGGGAGCCTGCTTCCTCCTCTCTCTCTCTCTCTCTCTCTCTCTCTCTCTGCATCTCTGCCTACTTGTGATCTCTGTCTGTCAAATAAATAAAATCTTTATAAAAACAAAACAAAACAAAAAAACCTCTTCGGGGCACTGGGGTAGCTCAGTCCATTAGGCATCCAGCTCTTGAGTTCAGCTCAGGTCGTGATCTCAGGGTCATGAGATTGGGCCCTGCAGGAGGCTCTGCACTGAGCTTGGATCCTGCTTAGACCTCTCTCTCTCTCTGTCTCCCTCTGTCCCCAGCCCCCAAAACAAACAATCATAAAACCCACTCATCATATCCTGTCCAAAGCATAACCCCAAGCCCTTAACATGGACTTTTGAAGGCTCCTCAGTGTCTTACAAGTGATAAGAGTCCTATCTCTGCAACTCCACACTTTGGGCATGTGCTCTCCGGCTACGTGGATTTCGCATGCACCACTTGTTAAATACACCTTGCTTTTTCCGGTTCCTTGCTGAGCACACTCTAGGGCGTGTGCCCTCTGCTGCCCCTGTGTCCTCTACTTGGCAGGCGCTGAGCTATATCCTTCAGTTCTGCTTCTGTTACCTGCTACGAAGCCTTCCAAGACTTGCCCAGTTATCTGATCCCTTCTCGGTGCCACCGTAGCAGAACGAACATAATTCTACAAACTATTTCTTGCTTGAATTCATTTATTCTATTGGAGCTCTTTGGGGTGGAATTGTGTCTCTGTGCGTCGCTGTCCCACTCCACTGTACGTTCTTTGAGGTTCGGGCCAGCACCTATCATGTTTATCGATGTATCCCTAGCTCCTGGTGTTGGACCTGGCATAGAGTGGACACTTGACAGGCATGTATGAAATGAACAGATGAATGAATTGTTACTTTCAACTGCTAGAGCAACTGAAAATTGTCCTCAGCTTGCATGACGAGGCTGCCTGAGGTTATGGCACTTTTTTCATTATGATATCTTCTTTTTCAGTTCTGCCCACCACCAACAAAATGACTTCAGGAGACTAATAATTTAAGCACTTCCCCGGTCTGCTCTCAGGTTATCCTCATAAATATTTGCCGCCATCACTGGTTGGCAGTTTGAGAGCAGGACTGCCTCCTCGCTTGGCGGACAGAAGTCTCCAAAGCCCCTTCTCCAGGCTAGTATGAACCATCAGTCCTGCCTTGAAAAGACTGAAGCCCTTACTTTTGACCAGTTGTATTAAGACTGGGACTTCCTTTGTCTTTCACTGAAGCAAAATCTTTTGGGACACATGGTGACTTTGCTTATCTATCTTTTGACTGTGTTGGCTGGAAGCAATTTAATAGCAATTCTTAGTGAAATGACAGCATCTGACATATATTTGAGATAATAATAGTTTCTTTCATTTTTTATGACACTTTTGTCAGCCCATAAATCCATCCTTGTCAACCCCAAATTATTCAACATGTGTTAACGTGATGTTTATAATGACTTCAGTGAGTAAAGTCATATATACATAGGTACCCACATACATACATGGTCACACACATACACATGCACACATGCCGGATAACAGGTCACACCTATTCTGCTATACTCACTGGCAAGGAAAAGCCAACTATTCTGCTATACTCATAAGGACTCTGATCTTGACCCCTGTATTGTGTTACCATTGTTGTCACTGGTATCTATCCATTGTAGTAAATATCTCATACACATATGATAATTGCTCTACTTACCAAGCGTACTTAACATGGCCAGGCACTTTTTTTTTTTTAAAGGTTTGTTTATTTTAGAGAAAGAGCATGAGTGGAAGAGGCAGAGGGAGAGGGAGAGAGACTGTCAGGCAGACTCCATGCCCAGTGTAGAGCCCGATGGGGCGGGGCGGGGGACGGCCAGATCTCATGGCCCTGAGATCACGACCTGAGCTGAATCCAAGAGTCGAACCCAAGAGTCAGGCTCTTAACCAACTGAGGCACCCAGAAGCTCCTGGCAGGCACTTTTTATATGCATAATTTTTCATTCTTACAGCCACCCTGCGAGGACAGATGTTATTACCCACATTTTACAGATGAAGGAACTGAGATGCCGAGAAGTAGCAGTATCTGAGTCGGGATTGGCTCTGTCTCAAAGCCTGTGTTCTTCTCACTACAACACTCAGCATCTTAATTAAAAAGCCTAACATGAAATTGAATCTTTAAAAGCTTGAATAATCTCTATTTCCTCTAATATCCCAACTCCTACCCCATTCATTGGAGTTCTGTTGCTGAATGGCTTGTTCTCATGGCACTTTTTCTCACAGGCTTCCTCTGGCCTTTGGGTCCCTGGATCCCTTGGAGAAAAATAAGGGGAACACTGTTACCATATCTAAAAGGATCCATACAGATCACTGGCTACCCAGAAAGTCCTGTGGGTGATCAGTGAACCAGCAGGAAGTAGGAACTCCTACCTCGCAGTTGGAGCTGGCATTTGACGGGCAGAAAAGCTATTAACCACAGCTCCTGTCCTCCAAGTGTCTGATACTAAACCATAGCAAGCATTTTTGACAAATGATAGGGCTTTAGTTTTAGATTCAGCCACTCCTCCCTTCCCTCCTTATTTCCTTTGGATACAACTGTCCACACCCTACAGGGTTAGGGGATATATATATATATATGGGGTGCCAGATAACAGGAAGGTAAGAGTGGAGACCTTGTGTAGGTGAGTGAAAGGAGTATCCGAGCCATAACATCCTCTTTGCCACTCTCTCAAGCTGCAGGAAGCAGAGATTGCCCAGCTCACCCCCAGGAGCAAGTAAGGAACACTGGTAAGAGTGTTCCTGTTGCCACCCTGGCCCCTGAACAGGGATATATGGCTGGAATTCACAGGAAGTAACTGGAACAAGGCAAAGACTATGTCAGGACTGGCCCTGCTCCCAACTGTTTGTCGGCACTCCATGAATAATGGCCATACCACCAGGAGGGCATACTGTTCATGTCTCTCTGAGAGTTCCAGCCCCAACAAGCATGGCCCCCGACGAGGCACAAACACAATGTCTCCAGAGGGACATGTGAAACGAGCTTATTCCTCGACTTCTTGCTGTTGGAAATAGACAGACAGATGTCCCACACTACTGAAGTCTGGGTAGCTCCACTGGAGGCCTGGAGATGCCCCTTTCCATTCCTCCAGTACTGTCCATGTCCCCCTCCCAGCTAGCATCACGTAATGTCAGTGGCTTTCTTGTTTCATTTGTATTTTGACTTTACCCTTCCCTTTAGTACCTGAGAAACAGGTACTAAACAGTGGCTGTCTTCCTAGGGTTATCGGCTGATTACTCTGTTTGTTTTCTACCCCGTCACCTGCTGGCTTTCAGGCCTCCTGTCCGCTGGGTGTTACTGACCCCAGAACTAGTCCCTCATACATGCTGGGACAGCAGGTGTCTCCTGGGATCGTCCCAGGTAAACCAGGACATAGCGTCCCCCTTCCCAGACGGGTCATGCCCACTTCACTGACTTGGAAGAATGAAAGGAATGGACATCTCGGCACCGTGAGGGTCAAATTCAGGATTAAGTTAGCTGCTGTTTGCTGTGCTCTTCCTTCGGTGTTCGACCTCCCTGTACCGCACCTAATCTAGCCTCGGCTCCTTCCGTCTCCTTCCTTCTTCCCTCTGTCCCTTTTCCTCCTGTCCTCTGCTTCTTGTTGTCCACATCTCTGCCCCCTGTCTGCCCTGCGTCAACGGGTTTTACAACACTGCTTACCCGCTTCATGCTTGATTCCAGGACAGGGAACAGCCAAGCCCATTATTCTGGGTCCCGTTCTGTTTGGTGGAGCTGTTGTGCCGCTTCTCTGACTTTGCATGGGGGACCTGAGTGCCGTTAGGAGTTAGGGGCAGGGTGGTATTAGGGCTGAAACCAATTTTCACAGACACATTCCTATTTTATGTTCTATTTTTATTCTCCAGCTGAATGCTTCCTGTCTAGCCCTGTCTAGATCACCCTTGAGTTCATATCCAAAGACCTCACAGTATCTTTTTTTTTTTTTTTAAGATTTTTTATTTATTTGACAGACAAAGATCACAAGAAGGCAGAGAGGCAGGCAGAGAGAGAGAGGGAGAAGCGGGCTCCCCGCTGAGCAAGGAGGGAGATGTGGGTCTCGATCCCAGGACCCTGAGATCATGACCTGAGCCAAAAGCAGAGGCTTAACCGACTGAGCCACCCAGGCACCCCAACACAGTATCTTCTTTCTATAGGTGGAAACACCCTGGAAATCTTCAGCTGGAGGCCAGAATTCTGGGCTCCTTCCCTGCTGCCTGGCTGCTGGCCTCCAGAAGGGACAGCAGGAACGGCTGCAAGATTGTCCCCAGTCTCCGTGCGAGGAGGGAGTGGTGGAGTCCTGTCTGGCTCAAAGCACAGCCTGGACTCGGAGTGGGACAGGAAGCCCCTGGGGGGCCTGAGAGAGATGTTTGGGCCAACACCGTGACTCCCTGAAAAACTTCCTGTGCTCCGAGGGTGCCCCCGCGCTCAGATCAGTGTCATGGGGGACCACCAGGTATCGTGTCGGTACTGGTCCCCCGCGCGCCTCAGTTTCCCAGTGGGTGTCAGGAGCCACTCCTCTGGACAGAAGGGCGCTGCAGGGCTGCAGGGACAGCGGCGGGCAGACGAAAGGTCGCAGAGAGCGGACTAGCCTGGGCTCTCGGCTTTCGGTACCCAGGCGGGAAGTGAGCAGAAAGTGCAAAGCGGGAGGAGCCCCGAGAAGCTCCGAGGGCAGCCAGCTGGGAGGCTGAACGCGAGAAAATGCAGGTGCCGGAGGTTGGCGGTCGGCTCGCGCCGGGCGGACCCCGAGGGCCTTCAGGTGCAAGGGGGCGGGGGCTCCGGGCGTCTGGCCGCCGAGCCGGGGCGGGCCGGGCCGTGGGGCATTTAAACCCGGCCGCCTGCCAGCGAGGGCCACGCGCCCAGCCCCGCGCCCTCCTTCGGCCACCATCTCCGCCTCGGATCCCGGCCCGGCACGATGCGGTCTTCCTTGGCTCCGGGTGTCTGGTTCCTGCGCACCTTCTCCAGGGACAGCTGGTGAGCCAGGCTCGGGGAGGGAGGCGCGCCGGGTCCCGGAGCTGCTCCCCGCCGGCCCCGGAGCGCCGGGGGCAGGAAGCGCCGGCGGCCACGCGGGGACCGGCGGGGGACAGTCGGGGCACAGCCCGCCTCGCACACCCCACCGAACCTGGGCTTGCGTGCGGGGCCACAGAGGCCAGGGGCGGATGGAACTGCTGATCCAGGGGCCACAGGAGTTGCTGAGTGGCCCTTTTGCTCTCTCCTACTCCTTGGATAATACGGAGGCCAGAATTCAGTGTCCTGGAACCTCACCCTCGGCGGGGTGGGGTGCCGAGGGACAGACCTCTGAGATCAGAGCCGCAGCTGCTCCTCCGCTGAACCGTCACCCCCGCCCAAGGAGTGCCCGGGCTTCTGCAGTAGCCTCCCTCCTGACCTCGCCGGGCTGTGCGGTGGGGTGGGGGGCTTCCACCTCCTACCCATCAGAGGCCTCACACTGGAGCAGTCTGCTTGGTCTGCACAGTGTTTTGGAGGCATTGTGTTAGTTGCCATCATTTACAAATTGTAAAATTTAATGTAAATAGCCAGACCCCTGGCTTCTCTTAAGAAACTGTAGCAACACGAGGCCTATATTCCCAAATTATATGACTAGGGGTAGAGGATCTCTTTTGGATAGGGTGGGTGCTCTTAAGACAACCAACTTACTGGTTTTAAGACAGAAAATCCTACATACCCAACCCTCTCCCCTGTGGGCAGGCTGGGATGGCTGATCACCCACAGCGCTTGCCAAGGGGTGACAGTCCTCACTGGCGACAGCCCTCAGTCACTTCCAGCCGTCTTCACTCGTTTCCATTACTTCTTTGATCCTTCTGGAGCTTAGGACTGTTAAAATATTTTTCATAAAAAGTTGAAATCATGGCTCTGATAGGTTACAAAAATGAACATGTGTTAAAGATTTTATTTGACTTATAATGAGAGAGGCAGAAAATGTCCAGGAAGGGGGGAAGAGGGAACTACTGTTTCAGTTTGGGAAGACAGAAAGTTCTGGGGACGGATGGTGGGGATGGTTGCAGGGCAATGGAAAGGCACTTCAGGCCCCTGACCTGTACCCTTCACAATGGTAGTATTTATGTGATGTATATCTTACCACAATTAAAAAAGAATCTGAAGAACTTGGCCATTCATAAATCAGGAATATTGAGACAAAACTGACTTTTCCACAGGTTGGGAGAAAAGACTATGAATTGGAGACTGTCATTTCATTCACACAGTTTGTATGACTTAACAGTTACCTGCTGCTTCAAAGCATTATAAAATAGCCCAAAGTCAAGGAAAGGCTAGAATCTGATAACTGGAGGGACGTCCTCTAGACAATGCAGTTTCCCAGGGAAAATTTTTTTTTTTCCTTCCCAAAAGTCTCCCCTACTTTGATCAAAAATACTTGCAAAGATGATTCTTGATCACAAAATAAGGCTGGTATCATTAGATTTGATCTGATTATATATATATATAGGAACAGCAAGAGTGTTCATCTACAGTATGGGCCTTGTTAAGTTGCTTTGCTGGAAGTTTTCATAAGAAATCTTAGACTGGACTTTTAAAAGCCTTTATTTATTTATTATTCTTTATTATTTACTTAGAGATTAGGAAGACAAGACACTGGTTTTCACACTAGGTTTTACCTGCTGTACCTATAAATGTGGGCAAATTCTTCTCTTCTCAAAGTCTCCCAAATACCCTGCGTGACCTGGGCCGGCCAGGGAATGACCTTCCTTATTTGCCTGTAAGGGAGCACAGTAAGCCAGGTTTTTTGGGAGGGTTTTATTAGTATTGGCTCCACATAGTCAATATTAGTTCCTTAAAAGGGGCTGGCTATATTTGATTAAATGATCATCACTGTCAAATATGACATTCCACGTAAGGCCTTGGTTATATAATCAATTTTTCTAATTACATCCGTGTTTAAAAAAAAAGGGCAGGGTGCCTGGGTGGCTTAGTGGGTTTAGCATCTGACTCTTGATCTCCGTTCAGGTCTTGGTCTCCCATCCAATGAGCTGGGGCTCCACACTGGGCATGTAGCCTTCTTAAAGAACACCAACAAAAGGTCAATTTCTTTCTTTTTTTTTTTTTAAGATTTTATTTACTCATTTGACAGACAAGTAGGCAGAGAGGCAGGCAGAGACAGAGGAGGAAGCAGGCTCCCCGCTGAGCAGAGAACCCGCTGTGGGGCTCGATCCCAGGACCCTGGGACCACGACCTGAGCCGAAGGCAGAGGCTTTAACCCACTGAGCCACCCAGGCGCCCCCAAAAGGTCAATTTCTTATTGAACCCTTGCTAATAACCATATTTCTATGAAAAGCAGGAAGCCGCAGCAAAAGTTTCTGAATTTGGGGCAGGTGGGGAGCGGTCTGGTAGGGAGAATAAGAAATGTGCAAGTGTTTTGTTGTAGTTTACAAAAACAGAGTCTACTGAATTGTTTTGGGTTATACACCGCTGAAGAAGAACTAGAAGGGCTTCCTGATATTTCCAGAAAACCGAACATTGTAACATCAACAATATTCTAAACCTAACGACAGCCATCCCTCACCAGTTCACTTGGGCCTCTGTGATTCTTATTCCATTGAATCTTGGGTTAGCAATCGCCTAAACTTGTCTGCTTCTTCCCTGGAGTTCTGGAAGTCCTGCCTCAATCTGCCTTTCAAGATGTGTAAGCAATGCCGTGAGAGGCCTGTACCCCAAGACTGAGTGTCTGGTACAGTGCTTTTCTGAGATAGTTCTCGATTGGTAAAGATCCAACTTTGGGCCTACAGCTGATTGCAGAGCCTTTAGGAAGCATCAAGAGTGAAACAACGGCCCATAGGTGACAGAAACCTAAAGGGGCGTGAATTAACGTATTATGATAGTTTTCAGAAGTGAACAACCTGATGAGAATTTGTGACCAGAATAATGTGGCTAACCAGGAAATGTTCCCGAGATAGGCAAAACAAAATCCAGCCAATTAAAAATCTAGACAGTGTCTAAAAACACAGTAAGGTAAATTCAAAGAAGATGGTGAACATTACATTTTGACTTATAAAAACGAATGAACACAATTTGTATGGAGGAAAAAAATCTTGAGATATTTAAAAATCCTGAGATTGAATTTATATAATATCCCAAGGATATACCAAGAATATCAACTCTGGAGACTCTGTCAGTCTGGAGTAAGTCTTACCCATCTGCATTTTATTTCTATAAGTAAGCTCTATACCTGGTGTGGGGCTCAAACTCACAACCCCCAGATCAGAAGTCCCACTATCTTCCTACTGAGGCAGCCAAGTGCCCCTACACAACATCTATTTTCATAGAACTCCATAGGAAATTCTGATGTCCATCCCGAGTTGAAAACCCCTGACCTAGAAGATGTTCAATTCAAATTAAAGAAGTAAGGTTGCAACCCATGTAGCATTTTAAATCAGAACCAAAATCGTGACTGGTCGCCCTGTATTGTTACCGTTAGACAGGGCTGCCAGGCCACGGATACGTGGTGGCAGATCTTGGACCCGGAGGGCACTGAGAAATCTGGACAAACTGCTCATGTAGCCTACCATTTGTGAACTGTTACTATAAATAGTTACATTTTGCCCTTAGAAATTTAACCTAGACGAGGCTGAGTGTCTCTTCTGATTTCACAACTATTTCCATGCAGTTGGTCGATAGCAACATATCAAATAAAACTAATTATTTGCAGCCCTTCTCTTCTTATTGTTTTAAAGAGTTTATTTATTTATTTGACAGACAGAGATCACAAGAAGGCAGAGAGGCAGGCAGAGAGGCAGGCAGAGAGAGAGAGAGGAAGCAGGCTCCCTGCTGAGCAGAGAGCCCGATGCGGGGCTCAATCCCAGGACCCTGGGATCATGACCTGAGCCAAATGCAGAGGCTTTAATCCACTGAGTCACCCAGGTGCCCCAGCCCTTCTCTTTTTATAAAAAGTGAAAAAGTATTTCCAGGGGCTCTCTTGGGGGTCTCATTCATAGTTTAAGTATGAAAGATGTCCAGAAAGTTTAATTTTATTTTGCATTTAGGACCTCATTTTGGGAAAGCAAAACATCAAAAGTTGTTAGGACATTTGAGTGCTCATCGTGAGTGCCTAAGAAACTTCTTGTCTGCCCATTTGAAAGTGATGATAATACAATAAAAAATAAACTTAGAAGGTAACATTGTAAAGAAACTGAACTGTTTCCTAAAGATCTTTACAAAGTATAGAAAATTATTCTGTAGGACACTGAATGTTTGCCATCTATGCAGATTCCCCAGGAGGTTAAAAAAAAATTTTTTTTTTACATCCTCTCTTTAAGAGCAGACCAATAACCAACATTCAAGGAAATTTTGGCATTTTAGCAGAGAAAACCAGATCCTACTTTTGCATTGGCATATTTGATACTAAAGGAACCACAGCCTCTTTTTGAAAATAATACAAATAAAACAAAAACTGAGCCAGATTTAGACAAAACTTTAACATAATTATTTATTTTCAGACTCCTTATTTGCACGTACTATAATCCAAAGCAAATCAAATTCTGTTTCCACAAACTTCTACAAATGTATCCCTTCAGGTTTTGTCCTTTATTGTCCTCTTTCTTATTTTGGAATGACCGGTCATTTTACTTCAGGATAAAACTTCTTTTTCTCTTCTTAAAAAAAAACACAAAAACAGAAAAACCCACCGTATCTTATCACCGTGTGTGGCAGTTGTACATGTCTGCCGCTATTATTCCTAATGGAGTTTCATCCATATGTATTAATTATACCATTTAGCCAGAGTAACTTCTGTTTTAGAGGAAATAGGGTTGGGGAGGGTAGGTAATTATCAACAGCCTGTCCCACACCAGCATTTTAGAAGAACTCATGAGTACACCTAACACAGCTTTCTACAACCACACGTCATTCAAAGTATGACTCCAACTATGTACTGTGTTGACCAACATCTCCCAGAGTTAAGCCAGATCTGGACTGAAATCCTTTCACCATGGTATGCTTTGTGC